TTTCAAACCAGCAACGAAAACAATTCCTCGTTTTCTCCGTGACTCGCTTTAGTAGTTGGTGCATGCATTTGAATAGTTGTATTGACTTGATTTCCTTGTGTTGGGATAGATATTCACGGACAGCATTTGACTGCAAGGTAGACTTTGAAATGTCCTTTTTGCCAACGATTGCAACGCCATTCCTCTTCAACCTGTCATTCCCTGCAGAGTAAACCATATGACTGCTTGCTTCACAATGGCCAATACCAGTCCACTATAGCTCGCTAACACCTGCAATATCAGTCTTTATATGTTCTGTTTCATTTTCGACAACTTCTGGTGTTCCCAGATCCACACTTTGACTTTGCAAGCTCCAATTATTGCTTGATGTTGGTCGCTGTTCCTTCTCATTTTGAGTTGTGTCCCGGTAGCAAATTAAGGTCCAGGAGACTTTACTCCTGACGGCTTTGCTCCATGCAAAGCATTACGGTCGACTCTCCTTTGAGAGAGCAGCTTTTCCCCGTCATAGTTGTAGGGCCTTCTGAGGGCTGATCTTCTGGCACTATCTGTGACAGTGTTCTGCAGTCAGTCATAACATTTTCAGTGGCTAATTCCGCTGAAGTGGACATCATATTTATGCTTCATCATCTGCTCCTAGTCTGGAAGCGCTGTTGAAACCTCTTCATTTGGGATGACCCTGCTGGTGTGCGAAACGCCAGTGACATCGCTCCTAGCATCACGCCTCCACACACACCACTCCAGTGTGACAAAGTGACAGACCCATGGTGATATGTCTTCCTTTGAATAGAAGAAGGTGCTGGTTGACTCACAGATACACCGAAGAACCCACACCCACACCCACCCCCAGCTGGTCCCCCTGGCTTAGGATCCTAGGACTACGGACAAAGCCCACCAATTCCAAGAGTCCAATCTTTGAATTCTTTTTTGATCCTTCGAGCTTCCATTCCTCTGGTAAGTTCATCGCCACAAGTCCAATGGCCAACACTCAGCTACCAACCAAGAGGTCAGAGGTTTGAGTCCTTCAACAAAGACCATGGCTAACTTTTGAAACACTGGCCACTGAAGACCCTATGACCCCAGTTCTCATCAGACTCGCATGGGGTCACAAGGGGTCACCCTCAACAATTGGTCACCCTCACTCAGACTGGGGGTTCCAGTTGACACCACCTGACTCATCCTGGAATGCCTGGCTGAGAAATTATCAGACACGGTCCCTGGCTGGAACCAAGGGACACTTGACAGAAACCAATAAAAGTGTTCTGCACGGGGACACAACCACAAACCAGGCTCCAAATTCCTACCAGACGTATGCCCGAGAGCTGACGTTTAACAATCCACGCGCCGCAGATGCTCGAGCCTAGTGCTGTCATCTACAGACACTGGGCCTGGGCTGTGGCCTTGACCTCCAGGAATGTTCGTGCGCTCTGCTGAGGAGATGAAGAGAGATTCGTGTGGATAGAACTTGGTCAGAGAATCCGCCTAAAGGACGTGGAACTAGGAATGAGCGAGCCGTGGAAGACAAGTTTGGTTAGCAGCCGAAAGGAACGGGTGGCAGGGATGGGGAAAGCTGCAAGGACTGGAGTGGAGAGAGGGTGACCTCGCTGTGCACACGG